CTCAGGGAGTCAGGAGTGGCATCTGTCACTGTCAGCTCTCCCAGATGTGGCTTGAGAGGGGGTTCAAGGGTTGTGGTGGGCACTATTTTGGTGGTCATAGCTTCATCCTCTGGAGCTGAACAAACACACACACACACACACACACACACACACACACACATATAGGGAGAGGTTAAGTCTCTCCTGTCCTCAGTTCAGCACATGGAAGGAACATTTATAAAAATAAAGCCCTCAAGAGCAGAATGATGCTGGCTACAGGGATCTAACACACCTGCTCTGCTCCTCTGATGTGGTCATTTCTAGCACCCTTTCTTTGCCCTGTTCCACTGCTCTACCTGCTCATACCCAAGTGACTTCTTTCACTACCTCTAGCACACTCCTCATCTGAGCAGAGTGTGGCCTTCGCCCCAGGGCATCCCTGCACTGGGTCTCCTTGTCATCTTGTTCACTTGGCTCAGGTCTTGGGTCCCAAATACAGAAGAACACCTCTCCCCCATAAAAGGAGCTGAATCCCTCCCCTCACCGCTGCCACTAGAATCAGAGTGATTCACAACATCTTCCCAGATTCCTCCTGGATGCCTCATTCCCATCCTCTCCAGCACCAGACCCTGGAGTGAGCAGCCATCGCCTCTAGTCCAGGTTACTACACCCCCTCAGGGATCCCTCCCTGCAGGTTTACTCTGCCCTCCCTCCCACCCAGCCGTGCTTCACACAGCAGTCCAAAATTTGCACATGCACCAATACGCAAGCAGTCATCACAGTTTTGGGTGAGCACTATCCTCATTCCCAGGTTGAGTCCAGGCTTTCAGAGCTGGTCCCACCTCTGCACCCTCATCTCAACAACATCTTGTGCCTCAGAGGACGTCAGCAGAATCCTCTCATTCCTTCACGTGCTGTACTGTTTCTAGCTGCCTGTTCTTTGCACCAACTGTGATGTTGACCTGACACACTCTTCTTTCTAAAGCTGTCACTAGACTAATACCTGCCAGTCTTCTCAGCCATCCCTTGGTATTGTGGGCAGCCTGGATTAGGTGTCTCTGACTGGTCCTGTTCTGGCCTCCAGGCATATCTCCTTGTGCTTTACTTGCTGGTTTTCTGCCTGTCTTCTTCACTAGGAGCCCCATGACAAGATTAGCTTGTGTGTCCCTTCTAAAGCTTCACCCTGAGAGAGACCAGCAGACCTGACACCTGTGACCTCTCTGGTCTCCTAGGTGAAACTTACTTGCTCGAAGTGATCTGGCACAGCTCAGTCCTGTGTGGTTCAGTTGAGCACAGACCATTTCAAAGAATTTGAAATCAAACATTGCCATCTGTCAGCATGACAAAGCCATCTTGCATTCATGTCTCCACATAAACAAACTTGAACATTTTCACAAAAACGACCAAACATCTCCCACCAAGCTAGTCTGAGCTGATGGCCTGACTTCTTTACAAATTGTGGCTTTGGCCTCACCATAGACACTTCTCATAAGTGAAACTTAGTAAGATCCCTAGTGACAGTTGAACCCTAGTCCTGAGAGCATCCATTCAGAGTTAAACCCCAACTCCTAATACCTCTCACAGTCATTAACACAAGCCCAGAACCTACATTTTTCTCTACAATCACCCCACAGTCCTACACTGCAAGGACCATAAATCCTTCTGACAATTACAGGTGCGATGCCCAACAGCTTTGGCTGGGACAACTGACACTCAACTTCATAGTGCCAAAATAGGGCATGGAACTGTTTGTGGAATGAACAAATGGACATAGTGGAATAAAGGTCTAAGATTACAAAATCTGGGTTTGCAGGTGCACAGCCTTGTACAGCCAGCACATTTCCTCTTCCCTCATGGGCCCCAGGCAATCCCGAGCCTCTGTGAGGATCAGGGAAGGGAGAAAAACACTGGACAACAAAGTTCAAGAGAGGATCCGTGCCATTTTTTGTGGGAGCTTTGCTACTCAAGAGCTGACCCAAGCACCAGCAGCACTGGCACCTGGTCTTGTTAGCAATGCAGAGCGTCAGGCTCCAGCCAGGTACCACTGGACCTGAATCTGAATTTTAGCAAGACCCACAGGCATGAGGAAGTGCACAGCAGCACCACCACTGACAGCACCACTGTTTCCCTGACTCTGGTAGGAAGGGAACAACTTCTAGGGCTGGTCTTCCTGCCTTGCCCCAACGTGACATTTACTCACCAGTCATTCCCATGGTGGACACGGGGCCCACGCGATGCCCCTGGTGGATCCCATACAGGTGCATCTTGTACTTGCGCCTGGGCTCCAGGTCCCCCACGATAGTCTCCCTCTCCTCGCCCCTGACATGCACCACCTGGGGCTGCCCATTACTGTCCTTGTACTGAACAGTGAAGGAGTCAAAGTGGCCTTGAGGAATGGTCCATGAGAGGCTCAGGGAGTCTGGAGAGGATCCTGTCACTGTGAGCTTGCCCAGGAGTGGCTCCTTGGGAGGCTCTGGGGCCTCTGTGCTGGGTTCTGTGGGGCTGGGAGTCTCTTCCTCTGTAGCTGAAAAGGGAGACAGAGAGGATGAGGCAAGGGCTCTATTCTTGGGTCTTGGGAGAGGAAGGTAGAAGCCATAGGCATGGGGTTCTTGAGATTATTTCAGAGAATCGTACCCTTGGGGCCAGATGGTCCTGCATGGGTGAAAGCTGCAAACCTACCCAAGCTCCCAGGTCAGCTGAAGAAAAGCCAGACAGCCACCAGCCCAGCAAAGGCCCCTAGATCCCTCCTCCACACCCACGGGGATACAAAAGTGAACCCCACGGGAAGGCACATAGAGGTCACAGCCTCAGTCACAAACAAGCCTGTGGGTACTACCCGGTTACCAATGCCAGTTCATTTGTCACCAAAGAGCAAGAGGGTGCCCCTTCCAGATATTCTTATATTTGGGATCCCACTGTAACTCACCTGTCATCCCAATGGCAGACACTGGGCCCACACGCTGGCCATTGTGGAAACCATACAGGTTCATCTTGTACTTATGATCTGGCTCCAGACTTGAGATGGTGACCTGGTCCTCGTGCCCTGGGACCCGAACCACCTTGGGCTGCCCATCCCCATTCTTGTACTGGACCAGGAAGTGGTCAAACTGTCCCTCAGGGTTTGTCCAGGAGAGGCTCAGGGAGTCATGGGTGGCATCTGTCACTGTCAGCTCCCCTAGGCGGAGCTTGAGGGGAGCTTCAAGGGTTGTGGTGGGCACTACTTGGGTGGTCATAACTTCATCCTGTGGAGCTGGACAACAACAACGACAACAACACACACACACACACACACACACACACACACACACACAGAGGAATAGGTGAGATGTCTTCCACTGAAAGTTCATCATATAAAGGAGCATTTACTAAAATAAAGCTTTGATGAGCAGAAGGATGCTGGCCACAGTGGCTCTAACACACATCCCTCTGCTCCTTCAATGTCACCATTTCTAGCACTTTAATCTGATCCCCTGCCCTCTTCACCTGTCTACAACATGTAACTTCTCTTCCTTCGTCCAGCACCCTCCCCTTCAGACCCACATGGCCACTGCTCTTGGGCCTTTATACACTAGGCCTTCTTCCCATTGTCTTGTTAATTTGGCTCAGGTTTTGGTTCCCCAAAAGGCAAGAACACCCCTCCCCATGACAGAAACTGAACCCATACTTCTCACAGCTGCCACTAGAACCCAGAGTGAGTCACATCCTCTTCCTAGTTTCCTCATGGCTGCTTCACTTCTATCCTTTCCAGCCCCCAGATAACAGGGTATGCCACCATCACAACTCTTCCAGGTTACTACTTCATTTCTGGCCTCCTTTCCTGCAGGCTCATTCCACCTTCTCTCCCATCCAACTGTGCTTCACGTAGCAGCCTGACCTTTGCACATGTACCTCCAATGCCAGCATTTATCGAGGTTCTGGGGAACCACTGTCCTTATTCCCAGGTGGAGTCCAGCTTCCACAGCTTTTTCCACCTCTTCACCCACCATCCTGTGCCTCAGAGGGCATCACACAAAATCCTCTCAGTTTCTCTGTGTGCTGTGCTGTTTCTAGCTTCCTGCTCTTTGCACCAGCTGGGATGCTGACCTAATACACTCTTCTTTATAAACCTGCCACCAAACTAATACCTGCCAGGCCTCTCAGTCATCCCTTAGTACCTGTGGGCAGCCTAGATTAGGTGTCCCTGGCTGGTCCTATTCTGGCCTCCAGGCTCACTTCCTGTGCTGTACTTGCTGGCTCTCTGCCTGTCCCCGTGACTGGCATGGTTAGCTTATATATGTGTCCCTTCCAAAGTTTTATCCTGGGCTGGAGGTTTGACTCAATTGGCAGACTGACTGCCTAGAAAGCATGAGACCCTGAGTTCAAACCCTAGTACCACCAAAAAAAAAAAAAAAAACAAAACAAAAAAAACCAAAAACATTACAAAGCTTCACCCTGAGAGAGACAAAAGGATCTTTGACATGTCTGGTCCCATAGGCGAGCCTTGCTTGCTCAGAGCCAGCCTACAACAGCTCATTCTCCTATGGTATAGTTTAGCATAGACATTTTCACAGAACACAGACTTCAGATGAAGCTTTAATCACCATGATAGATGAAGAGAAAAACAAAGCAAGTTTTGAATCATATCTCCGTTTAGACAAATTTGAACAGCTTCTTTCTTCTTTTCTTTTGTAGTACTGGGGTTTGAATTTGGACTCTATACTTGCTAGTCAGGTGCTTGCTCTACTGCTTGAGCCATGCCTCTAGTCTAAACTTGAACATTTTGTTTTTTGGGTTTTTTTTTTTTTTGGTGCTGGGATCGAACCCAGGGCCTCACACATGCTAGGCAAGCGCTGTACCTCCAAGCTACATCCCAGCCCTAAACTTGAACATTTTAACAAAAATGACCAAGCATCTCCCACCCAGCTAATCTTGAGTGATGGCCACTTCTTTATAAATTGTGGTTTTCCTCACTATAGACAGTTCTCAGAGGTGAGACTTAGGAGGATCCCCAGTGAAAAAGCTGAGCCCTCTTCCTGAGAGCTTCCATCCAGAGTTGAACTTAATTCCTAACCCCTCCCTCATTTAGGTGCGCAACCTAAATGCTGTACACCTAGCACCTCAGGTCACTCCAGAGAGACCAAGTCTCTGTGAGGATCAGGGAGGGGAGAAAAACACTGGACAACAAAGTTCAAGAGAGGATCCAGTGCCATTTTTTGTGGGAGCTTTGCTACTCAAGAGCTGACCCAAGCACCAGCAGCACTGGCACCTGGTCTTGTTAGCAATGCAGAGCATCAGGCTCCAGCCAGGTACCATTGGACCTGAATCTGAATTTTAGCAAGACCCATAGGCATGAGGAAGTGCACAGCAGCACCACCACTGACAGCACCACTGTTTCCCTGACTCTGGTAGGAAGGGAACAACTTCTAGGGCTGGTCTTCCTGCCTTGCCCCAACGTGACATTTACTCACCAGTCATTCCCATGGTGGACACGGGGCCCACGCGATGCCCCTGGTGGATCCCATACAGGTGCATCTTGTACTTGCGCCTGGGCTCCAGGTCCCCCACGATAGTCTCCCTCTCCTCGCCCCTGACATGCACCACCTGGGGGCGCCCATTACTGTCCTTGTACTGAACAGTGAAGGAGTCAAAGTGGCCTTGAGGGATGGTCCATGAGAGGCTCAGGGAGTCTGGAGAGGATCCTGTCACTGTGAGCTTGCCCAGGAGTGGCTCCTTGGGAGGCTCTGGGGCCTCTGTGCTGGGTTCTGTGGGGCTGGGAGTCTCTTCCTCTGTAGCTGAAAAGGGAGACGGAGAGGGTAAGGCAAGGGCCCCAGTAGATATCCTTGGGTTTTGGGAGAAGTCATGGACATGAAGTCCTGAGGTCACTTCAGAGAATTCTACCCTTGGGGCCCAGAGGTCCTTCATGTCTGAACACTGACAAATTTACCCATGCTACCCAGGGAGCGGGCAGAATATGGACAGCCACCAGACAGCAAAAGCCCCTATATCCCCTCCCTGCCGACAGGGAGAAGGCACACTGGGGCCACAACCCAAGCCACTAGCAGGCCTGTGGGTGCTGACCAATTTTGCAGCCACCATTGTCTACTCACTCATCATCAAAAAGCAAGAGGGTTTTGATCACAGTGGGCCCACCCTGGGGCTCCCACTGTCTGCTCACCTGTTTTCCCCATGGCAGACACTGGGCCCACACGCTGGCCATTGTGGAAACCATACAGGTTCATCTTGTACTTTTGATCTGGCTCCAGACCTGAGATGGTGACCTGGTCCTCATGCCCTGGCACCCGCACCACCTTGGGCTGCCCGTCCCCATTCTTGTACTGGACCAGGAAGTGGTCAAACTGTCCCTCAGGGATTGTCCAGGAGAGGCTCAGGGAGTCAGAGGTGGCATCTGTCACTGTCAGCTTTCCCAGATGTGGCCTGAGGGGAGGCGCAGAGGTTGTGGTGGGTGACACTCCAGTGGTCATAGCTTCATCCTCTGGAGCTGGACAAACACACAGACAAACATACAGGAAGAGGTCAGATCTCTTTTGTCCTCAGTTCAGCACATGAAGGAACATTAACAAAATTGCATAAGCACCAGGATGCAAACAATCATTGTGGTTCTGGGGGACCACCAGCCTCATTCCCAGGTAGAGTACAGGGTTCCAGTGCTGCTCCCACATTTCCACTCTTATCTCAACACATCCTGTGCCTCAGAGGACATAACACAAATATCCTCTCAGTTTCTCTGTGTGCTATGCTGTTTCTACTCTCCTGCTCTTTGCACCAGCTGGGATGCTGACCTGACACATTCTTCTTTCTAAAGCTGTCATTAAACTAATGCCTGACAGACCTCTTAGATGTTGCATGTGCTCACGGACAACCTGGTTTAGATGGCCCTGCCTGGTCCTTTTCTGGCCTCCAGGTATTCCATACTCTTCTCGCCATACTATACTTGCTGGTTTTCTGCCTGTCCCCCTGACTGTGAGCCCGTGACAAGGTTAGCTTGTGTGTGCCCCATCCAAAGCTTCAACCTGAGAGAGACAAGAGTACCAGATACCTTTGACATTTGTACAGCTCAGTCCCATGTTGCACAGCTGAGCACAGAAATTTTCATAGAACTTGACATCAGACAATGCCATCTGTTACCATGATGAATGAAGACAGAGACAAAGCCAGCTTGGATTCAGTCTCCACAGAGGCAAACTTGAACATTTTCAGAAAAATGACCAAACATCTTCCACCAAGCTAATCTGAGTGATGACCTCTTATTTACAAATTACGGCTTTAGACTCACTATAGACACATCTCATAAGTGAGATTTAGTAAGATCCCCAGTGACAGAGTTGAGCCCTAGTCCTGAGAGCATCCACTCAGAGTTGAACCCTGACTCCTAACACCCCCCCACACACAGTCATTTAACACAAGCCCAGAACCTACATTTTCTCTACAATCACCCCACAATCCTACACTGCAAGGACCATAAATCCTTCTGACAATTACAGGTGTGATGCCCAACAGCTTTGGCTGGGACAACTGACACTCAACTTCATAGTGCCAAAATAGGGCATGGAACTGTTTGTGGAATGAACAAATGGACATAGTGGAATAAAGGTCTAAGATTACAAAATCTGGGTTTGCAGGTGCACAGCCTTGTACAGCCAGCACATTTCCTCTTCCCTCATGGGCCCCAGGCAATCCCGAGCCTCTGTGAAGATCAGGGAAGGGAGAAAAACACTGGACAACAAAGTTCAAGAGAGGATCCAGTGCCATTTTTTGTGGGAGCTTTGCTACTCAAGAGCTGACCCAAGCACCAGCAGCACTGGCACCTGGTCTTGTTAGCAATGCAGAGCGTCAGGCTCCAGCCAGGTACCACTGGACTTGAATCTGAATTTTAGCAAGACCCATAGGCATGAGGAAGTGCACAGCAGCACCACCACTGACAGCACCACTGTTTCCCTGACTCTGGTAGGAAGGGAACAACTTCCTGCCTTGCCCCAACGTGACATTTACTCACCAGTCATTCCCACGGTGGACACGGGGCCCACGCGATGCCCCTGGTGGATCCCATACAGGTGCATCTTGTACTTGTGCCTGGGCTCCAGGTCCCCCACGATAGTCTCCCTCTCCTCGCCCCTGACATGCACCACCTGGGGCTGCCCATTACTGTCCTTGTACTGAACAGTGAAGGAGTCAAAGTGGCCTTGAGGGATGGTCCATGAGAGGCTCAGGGAGTCTGGAGAGGATCCTGTCACTGTGAGCTTGCCCAGGAGTGGCTCCTTGGGAGGCTCTGGGGCCTCTGTGCTGGGTTCTGTAGGGTGAGGGGTTTCTTCCTCTGCAGCTGAGGAGAGACAAGAGTGTGAGGCAGTAGTCCCAGGAGATATCTTTGGGTCTTGGGAAGAAGGATGGAATAGCTATGGGCATGAGAACCCTGAAGCCAATTCAGAAAAGCACACCCTTGTGTCCCAGCAGTCCTGCATGGGTGAAAGCTGACAAAGAAGCCCAAGCATCCAGGTCATCTGTGGGAATGCTAGACAGCCACCAGCACAGCAAAGATTCCCGGAGATGGCCCCTCCCTACCCAGGGGGACACAGAAGTAAACCCTAGAGGAAAGTATACAGGTGCAACAGCCTCAGCCATAAAGAAGCCTGTGGGTGCTTGCCAATCCCTGGCCACATTGCCTACTCAGCCATCACCAAAGAGAAAGTGGATGCCTCTTCCAGTTGGTCTCACCCTTGGGCCCATCTACTCACTTGTCACCCCAATGGCAGATACAGGACCCACACGCTGGCCGCTGTGGAAGCCATACAGGTTCATCTTGTACTTATGATCTGGCTCCAGACCTGAGATGGTGACCTGGTCCTCGTGCCCTGGCACCCGCACCACCTTGGGTTGCCCGTCCCCGTTCTTGTACTGGACCAAGAAGTGGTCAAACTGTCCTTCAGGGATTGTCCAGGAGAGGCTCACGGAGTCAGGGGTGGTGTCTGTCACTGTCAGATCCCCCAGATGTGGCTTGAGAGGAGTTTCAGGGACTGTGGTGGGCACTGCTTCAGTGGCCATAACTTCATCCTCTGGAGCTGGATAGACACACACACATACAGAGACAGGTAAGGGCTCTTCTATCCTGTTTAGTACATAAAGAGAATTTATTAGAATAAAGCCCTGAAGAGCAGCATGATGTCGACCACTGTGGCTCTAACACACCTCCTTTGCTCCTTTGATGTTGCCATTCCTGGCACCCTTACCTGACCACGTACCTTCTTCCTCTACATGCCAACAACCTGGTCACTTTATTCTTCCCCCAAGCACCTACATCTTCTGAGCAGCTCCACATGAACCGTGTGTCTGGAATCCCTGCATTTATCTTCTTCCCATCATCTTATTTATTTGATCAGGTCTTGCATCCAAGCAGGCTGAGAATACCCCTCCCCACACCAGAAACTCTACCACCTTCTCTCAGCTGTCATCAGACTCAAGAGTGTGTCCCAGCTTTTTCCTGGTTCCTGGCTTCCTACTCCCATCTCCTCCAGCCCCAAGAACCCAGGGTGAGCACCATATTTCATCTCTCACTCTGGTGACTACCCTCTCTGCCTCTCTCTCTGCAGGCTCACTCCACCCTCCATCTCACTCAGCCATACTTCACCCAGGAGCCCAAGCCTTGCACATGCACCTCCACTGCCAGTAATCATTGAATTTCTGGGTGACCACCATCCTCATTACCAGGTGGAGTTCAGGATTCCCGAGCTGCACTCACCTCTCCACCACATCTGAAGACATAATAACACAAAATCCTGCACCTCAGAAGACATAACACAAAATTGTCTCAGTTCCTCCACGTGCCATGGTGTTTCTACTCTCCTGCTCTTTGCACCAGCTGGGACACTGACCTGACACTCTTTTTTTCCTAAAGCTGTCATCAACCTAAATACCTGCTAGTCTTCAGGTCTCAGCTGTTCCTTAGGTTAACATGTGCAGGTCAGCTTTGGTGTCCCTGTATGGGCTTAGCCTGGCCCCCAGGCTTTGCTATCACAAGTTCATTCTGGTTGTTATGTGTGCTGGTTTATAGCATGATATGTGCCCCATTACTCAGTAATATGTCAGTCTTCCATGCTGAAGGTCTCTCCATTGGACCTCTCTGTCTGGATCATGGCACCCAAATCTTTGTTGATATATTGGAATCATAATTCTGATAATACCTCAAGCACGAGGTTTTTGGGGTGTACAGTCAACACGATCCACTCTGAGTTCACTCCCTCTTTTCTCATAGGCCCCAGTCTACTCTATAGAGACAGAGCCTCAGTGAGGGATCAGAAGTCGGGCAAAGAGCTGGGCAACAATTTCCAATATAGGGTACCAAATCTTTGTTAAGAAGAGCTATCCTCCTCAAAGCCTGACCCATGTTCCAGCATCATCAGCACTGGGATTGCCATAGTTTCAATCTTAAGCTTTCCTCAAAAGCTCATGCATTAAATTATTGGTCCCCCAAGGGTAATGATACTGGGAAGTGGTGGAACCTTTAAGAGGTGGGGCTTTGTGGGTGCTCCTTAGGTCATTGGGGTTGTGCCTTTGAAATGGATAGTGAGACTCAGCAGCCCCTTCCTCATTCTCTTTTTTGCTTCCTGACCATGAGATGAGTGGTTTTATTTCACCATGTTCTCCTACCATGTTGTGCTGCCTCACAACAGGCCTAAAAGCAACAGGGTCAACAGACTGAGCTTTGAAACCTTCAAAACTGTGAGCCAAAATAAGTCTTTTCTCTTTATCAGTTGATTATTTCAGGTATTTGTTACAGTAGGGAAAAGTTGACTAACAGAAGGATCTTGTTAGGAATGTAGCATATCAGGTTCCAGCCAAATGTTACTGGATCTGACTCAACTTTTTAGGAAGACCCACAGGAATGTGAAAATGCACAGCGGTTTGCTACTGACAACACCACTGTTTCCTTGAAGCTGGCAGAAAGGGAACAACTTCTAGAGCCAGTCTTCCTGCCCAGCCGCAGCTGACATTCACTCACCAGTTGTTCCCACTATGGACATGGGACCCAGGTGCTAAACCCAGTGGAGCCCATATAGGTGTATCTTGTACTTGTCCCCCATGGTGGCCTCCCTCTCCTCACCCACGACAGGCAACACCTGAGGCCACGCATCACTGTCCCTGTATTGGATAGTGAAAGAGTGAAGATGGCCCTGGGGGGATAGTCCAGGTATGCTCAGGGAGTCTGGGGAGGATCCTGTCACTATCAGCTCCCTCAGGAATGGCTCTTTGGGGGCAAGGGGCTGCAGGATATCTATGCTTGGTTCTGTGGGGTCTAGGGAGTCTCATCCACTCTGTGGGGATGGGGGTTCCTTCTACAACATCATATGGGCTGAGGAGTCCAGGGAAGGCAAGTGTTAAGGGTGACTTTCTTTGCTGGTGTTGTCAATAGAGACAATAAAATATATCCAGCATATATATGTCATAATCGGAAGGCTCAGAGACTTATGTTGCCTTTGATATTGGCCATTCAGTCACTAATGGAATGAGAGGGCTTATCCAGCCCCTGCCCGTTCTGTCTGCTGGCAGGAGTGCACTGCTACACATCTTCAGAAGGCAACTGGGCCATTATGTGTTAGGAGCCAAAACAGTGCTCATTTCCTTTGACCCAATAATCCCATTTCTGGGCATCTATCCTAAAAAAATTATTAAAAGCAGGAAAAAGTTCTATCATGGAAGAATTCACAGTGAGATTATTCATGACAGTAAAATGTGTTAGGCACCCAAATGACCTGTAAAAGGTTAGTTTTGTTGCAGCACTTTCACCAGAAAGCATCAAATAACCATTAAAATGATTAATACAGATTGTGTAGCCACAAAGTAAATGACTATTGTGTAACTTGCATACAGAAAAGTAAGAGCAAGATTAATATTGGACTATAACTTTATACACTGAGTACAAAATGCAGGAATGGAATGTGTATTTGTACATTGTTTTTTATTGTTGTTGTTTTGTGGTACTGAGAATTGAACATAGGGCTTCTTGATACTTGGCAAGTGTTCTACCACTTGAGTTACACCCCAGTCCTTTTTTGATTTTGAGGCAGGGTTTCACTACCTTTTCCTGGGCTGTCCTCAAACTCAGGATCCTCCTGCCTTCACCTCCCAAGTAGGCAGGATTATAGGCATATGCCACCATGCTTGGCCTATTGTTTTTTGGTACTGGGGATGGAACGCTGGGCCTTATGAAGGGTAGACAAGCTTTCACTCTGCTACTAATGGTGGTTATTGGGTCAAAAGATGGATTATGAGGGTTTTTTTTTCTACTTTTCAAAAATTTCACAATGCTGCTATATTCTTTTCAGTATAAAAATGTGAACTTAAAAAGAAATTCTGTACTATCAACAGAGGGGGGAGTGGAGCGCTATGAAGATGGAACAAAAGGATAAAGGACTTGGGTCCCTCCTGCTGCTCTCTCTACTTGGTGTATGCTGTGATTTGCCACGATAGGAGGTAAGAAAATACAAAACTGAACAGTGAGTGAGAGTTAACAGCTTATCTCAGGGTGTAAGTTTTCTCGTGGTTCTCCTATTCTCCCTGTTACCCATAACACAGATGGTCTGCTGAACACACTAGGAACAAGACCTGTCTCTGGGAATCAGGGAGTCTGAGTGAGAGTGCTTCCTTTGTCTGGATGACCACCAGGACACAGGAGATATCTCACAAGCTGCCTACTCTGTGGCATAGAGGCAGTGACCTGCTCTCCAAACAGTGACTGTCAGAGGGTCCTTCCACTTCTGTAGGGCTCTTGAGAACTGCTCTGAAGCATGCATAATACTGGCTGAGAATGACTCAGAAAAGGCAGCACAATCACACCTGGGGAATTCAATGAATTCAATGAACCTTGTGATTTGTAGTCTAATTTCTTATTGATTAGCAAATTTAACTTTCTAATAATTAGAAATGAAATAAATTCCGGAGTGACAGGGAAGCTGGGCTTGATGGCCCAAGCCTGTCTTCCCAGCTACCTGGGAGGCACAGGCAGAAGGATCACCATCTGGGCCAGCTCCAAGCAAAAAAGGTATTTTCCTACCTGAAAAATAGCTAAAGAAAAGAAAAAGGTTTAGGGGTATAACTCAAGTGGTAGAGCGTCTGCCTAGCAAGCCTGGGGCCCTGAGTTCAACACCCCAAAAAAGAGTGACAGGGAAGAAGACAGATGGGATGTAAGAAGAAGACATATTTTCTATTTTTCAGTGATTATGAAAGAAATGCTTGCCATTTAGGAAAATTTGGACAATGCAGAATAGAAAAAAAACTAATGTGCTGGAACACTCTACTCCTATTCTGTCTCATAAACCATACCCCTGTGGGATGTGCTTCCTGGAGTCCTTGCCATGCCAGCTATCTTCAAATGGTTGTGATTAGCAGCCTTACAAAAATGTTTGGGTTCTGTTTTCTTTTTTCAATAGAACATTATAAACTTTTTGTTTTAGGTAAACACATTTTCAATGAGAGCATAATAGCTCATTTCAGATACTGCCTAAATTCTTCGGTCATGGCAACTTTGTTTGATATTAGGTTGTTCCTTTTGCGTGTCAGTATATATGTGTTTATAATGAAGAATCTTGTGGTTAAGATGAAAAGAAAGGAAAATGTTGGTAAGTCTGGCTTGGTCTGTACCTGACATATTTCACCCTTGGAGGTGGCCAGTGGCTGCCCAGCAGAGAGAAGCCACACCAGAATGAGTGATGAAGCTTCACGTGGGAAAAGGACAAACTAGCAGGCATGGGCTGTGGTCAAGGGTCAGGAAGGAAGGAAGGGGAGCCAAGGCCCAGACCCATGAGGGTTGGTGAAGGAAAAGAACAGTCAACCAAGTACCCATGAGGGAAAGACAGATACCCCTGAAGCCCCAGAACTCACTCACCAGTCATTCCCACGATGGACACAGGGCCCATGCGCTGCCCCTCATGGATCCCATACAGGTGCATCTTGTACTTGTGCCTGGGCTCCAGTTTCCCTACAGTGAGCTCTCTCTCCTCACCATGTACACGCACCACCTGGGGCTGCCCATCCCTGTCCTTGAATTGGACAGTGAAGAAGTCAAAGTGGCCCTGGGGGACAGTCCAGGAGAGGCTCAGGGAGTCTGGGGAGGATCCTGTCACTGTCAGCTCGCCCAGGAGTGGCTCGTTGGAGGTCTCCGGGGCCTCTGTGCTGGGATCTGTGGGACTGGGAGTCTCTTCCTCTGCAGCTGAGAATGAAGACAGAGAGGGTGAGGCAGGGGCCCCAGCAGATGTCCTTAGGTCTTGGGGAGAGGGATAGAGAAGCCATGGCCATGGGGGTCCTGAGGTCAATTCTGAGAAGCCGACCCTTGGGGCCCTGTGGTCCTGCTTGGCTGACAGCTGGCAAAAGTGCCCAAGCCCCCAGGTCAGCTGGGAGGAACACAGATAGCTAGCAGCACAGCAAAGGCCCTGATGGTTCCTCCCTGCCCAGAGGGACAGAGGTCAACACCAGAGCAAGGCATATAAAGGCCACAGCCAGAAGCAGGCCTGTAGGTACTGACCAAACTCCGGTCAGTCACCATTGCCTGCTCACTCGCCACCAAAGAGCAAGAGGATCCCCTTCTCACTGGGTCCCACCCTGGGGCTCCCACTGCCCACTCACCTGTCATCCCAATGGCAGACTCAGGGCCCACACGCTGACCACTGTGGAAGCCGTACAGGTTCATCTTGTACTTGTGGTCTGCCTCCAGGCCTGAGATGGTGACCTGGTCCTCATGCCCTGGCACCCGCACCACCTTGGGCTGCCCGTCCCCGTTCTTGTACTGGACCAGGAAGTGGTCAAATTGTCCTTCGGGGATTGTCCAGGAGAGGCTCAGGGAGTCAGGGGTGGTGTCTGTCACAGTCAGCTTCCCTAGCCGTGGCTTCAGACGAGGGGCATCAGTGGGTTGCTCTTCGTGGGCTGGGAAGAGGATGTAAACAGAATTGTTTCTATTGCTGGAAAAAACTGTTGAAGGCCCAGCTTCTAGGCTCTATTTCTGTTTTTATGTAGCAAAGTCCTGTGGCATCCTTACCATTTTCAAACATGCCAGGAAGCCTCCTACCTCAGGACTATTTCTTCTGCCTGAATGTTCTTTCCTCAGATGTCTGCATGGCTCATGCCTACTTTCCTTTTAAGTCTTTGCTCAAGTATCACCTTCTTTGGGTGGGGGAGGGGGTTTCTTTGATCTCCCTATTTAAAATTTCAGTTCTTTCAATTGCAACATACTTTCCTTTTTTGGACCTGATTCCAGCAATGAATTGCAAAATAACCATTAGTGGCTCACACCTATTATCCTAGCTTTGTGGGAGGCAGAGATCTGGAGGATGGTGATTCACTTTGGCAAGCTCAGAGAAAAATTTAGCAAGAACCCATCTCAAAAACAAGCTGGGTGGGCACTGTGGCTCAGCCTGTAATCCTAGCTACTTGGGAGGCAGAGATCAGAAGGGTCATGGTTACAGGCCAGCCCTGGAAAAAAATTTTTGAGACTCTATCTTAACTAATGGCTAGGCATGATGGCATGTGCCTATTATCTCAGCTACTGGGGGAATCACAAATAGGTGGTTCCTGACCCAGGCTGGCCTTGGCATAAAGCAAGACCCTATCTCAAAAATAACCACCTCAAAAGGCTTGCAAGTTGCTGAAGTGCAAGGCCCTGAGTTTGACCCTCCCTCAGGTACCGGTTATAAAAATCAAGCAAAAAAACAGAGAAACAAAGAAAAAAAACGAACAGAAAACAAGCCAGGATTGTGGTCCAGTTACACGGGGGCCAAGGACAACAGTCCAGGCCAGCCTGAGGCAAAACACAACACCTTATCTAAAAAAAAAAAAAAAATATATATATATATATATATATATAATAATAACCTAAAGCAAAAAGGGCTGGAGGTGTGGCTTAAGCAGCACAGCCCTTGCCTAGAGAGTGCAAGACAGCCCTGAGTTCAAGCTCCAGTATTGCCAAACAAACAAAAACTGCAGTGGAGGGACAGGTGTGTAATCCCAGCCCTCGCAAGGCTGAGACAGAAAGATTTTGAGTTTGAAGCCAGCCTGGCTACATAATGGAGATCCTGTCTCAAAAGAACAACAAAATAAAATAAATACAACAGTGGTGCATTCATACAATGGAATAATACTGTCAATAAAAAAATAATGTGGGGAAGGGGGATAAAAGAGAATGATGGAGGGGTGAATCCAACTATGCTATATTGTAAGAATTTCTGTAAATGTCACAATGTACCCCCAGTACAACAATAATATGGTAATATCACACATGGATAAATGTCAAAAACATCATGCTCCGTGAAAGAAGCCAGACACAGAAGAACAGGAGTTACATAATTCTATTTATATGAAATGTCCAGGAAAGGCAAATCTAGAGACAGAGTAGATGAGTGGTGTTGTAGGGCTGGGGATGGGAATGGATCTGGGCCTCAGGCTTCTTTTGAAAGTGATGGAAAAGTTCTAAAATTGGATTGTGGTGATAGTTGCACACAAGGTAAATATACTAAAATGGGTAAGTTGTACACTTAAGACAGGTGAATTTTACATCACATAAAATTATACAAAAATAAAGACATTAAAAAGAGTTCTTCAATGAGCACAGAGCCTTGTACATGCTAGGCAAGCACTACCACTGGCTACAACACCAGCCCATAAAAATAGCCTTTTTAAAAAGAGAAGGGAGAACAGGACAGGGCCGGGCTAGCAGATCAGGTAGAAGTTGATACTCCATTGAAGCAGGGTGATGAGTACATGGAAATCATTATGTTGTTCTTTCTCCTTGAAATTGTCTTTAATAAATATGTTGGAAGGAATTAGTAAATATTGCGCAGAATTTGTCTCAATCACACACACACACAAAAATTCTCTATAGACTTCCTGGGGGAAGTAGAGAGCCACAAACCAGGCAGTAAAATATTGCCTTAGAGGCCTCAATCCCCAGCGGCCATGCCCAGGAAGGTGTGGCCCCATAACAACTGTCCTGAGGTGTTGGAGGACAGTGGGTGGGTTAGACTCTTGGGGGCTTTGGGGTCCTGGGTCTCTAGTAGAGGAAATGATGGAGGCTCCACTTCCCGGGACCCAATCAAGAGGGCCCTTTAGCCCTCACTCACCGGTCATTCCCATGGTGGACACGGGGCCCACGCGATGCCCCTGGTGGATCCCATACAGGTGCATCTTGTACTTGCGGCCTGGTTCCAGGTCCCTTACAGTGGCCTCCCTCTCCTCGCTTCGGACATGCACCACCTGGGGCTGCCCATCACTGTCCTTGTACTGGACAGTGAAGGAGTCAAAGTGACCCTGGGGGACAGTCCAGGAGAGGCTCAGGGAGTCTGGGGAGGATCCTGTCACTGTCAGTTCCCCTAGGAGTGGCTCCTCTGGGCGCTCTGAAGCCTCTGTGCTGGGTTCTGTGGGGCTGGGGGTTTCTTCCTCTGTAACTGAGAAGGGGACAGAGAGGGTTAGTCAAGGGCTCCAGCAGATGTCCTCGTGTCTTGTGGATGGAGAAGCTATGGGCACAGGGGTTCCGAGGTGAGAGACATGCCCCTGGGGCCTGATGGTTCTGCATGGCTGATAACTGACAAAAGTGCCTAAACCCCCAGGTCAGCTTGGGGAAACTCAGACAGCCAGCAGCACAGCAAGGGCCTTGACGGCTCCTTCCTGCCGAGAGACACAGAGGTCAACCCCAAAGTGTAAGGTATACAGGGGCCACAGTCACAGCCATAAGCAAGCCTGTGGGTACTGACCAATATTCAGCCACCATTGCCTGCCTGTCCCAAAGATCAAGAGGGTCCCCTTTCCACTAGGTCCCACCCTGGGTCTCCTACTGTCCACTCACCTGTCATTCCAATGGCAGACACAGGACCCATGCGCTGGCCACTGTGGAAGCCGTACAGGTTCATCTTGTACTTATGACCTGGCTCCAGACCTGAGATAGTGACCTGGTCCTCGTGCCCTGGTACCCGAACCACCTTGGGCTGCCCGTCCCCATTCTTGTGCTGGATCAGGAAGTGGTCAAACTGTCCCTCAGGGATTGTCCAGGAGAGGCTCAGGGAGTCAGGGGTGGCATCTGTCACTGTCAGCTTCCCCAGGCGTGGTCTAGGGGGAGGCTCTGGGGTTGTGGTAGGTGGTTCTGAGGGCTCATCCTCCTCGTCCAAAGGTACTGAACATGGAGAGAGAGAAAAGTTTGAGACAGGGGCTGTGACTATGGGTCCTTTGCTCCCCTCTGGAACTTCCCACATATGTGGAGAAAAGCAGTGTCAGAATTCCTTTCACTTACCTGTCAGGGCCTCAATTTGGGCAGGACCCACACGCTGCCCATCTTTAAAACCATACAGGGTCACCAGGTATCTGTGGTCAGATTCCAGGCCAGTGAGGGTGATGTCACTCTGGTCGCCTTCTATGCTGACCACTTTGGGTTGCCCCTCTCTATCTGTGTACTGGACCTCGAAGGAGTCAAATTCTCCTTCAGTCACCATCCAGGAGAGGCGAAGGCTATGCGGTGTGGTCTCCTCTACCGTCAGCTCTCCCAGGTGTGGCAGAGCCCCTGGAGGGATTGGGCTTTAGTTATATCCATGGCAGCTGGTTCAAAGAGGCAGGTAGAGATGAGTGACTGGTCTGTCACTCAATGAATATTCTCCAGAGAGGGGAGAGAGGGAGGCAAGAGATCAGTAGTAAGAGGGTCAGCTTTTATACACGTGGGTGAATTTCAAAAACATTACGGGAAGTGCAAGGATCCAAACAGAAGACACAATATATTGTTTGAGTCTGTTAAATAAAATGCAAAAAAAAGGGCAAAGCTACAATGACAGAAAGCAGGTAAGTCACTGTCAGGGGTTGGGGCTGGGGAACTGGTTACAAAAGGGCACAAAGAAACTTATCAGGTAGATGGGAATATTTTATAACTCCCTTGTGGCAATGGTTCATACCATTTGTAAATTATGCCTCAGGAAGCTGGTCCCTTCCCCCAAAAGAAGGGAAACCAGAAGCTCAGAGACCTCATGTATTAGTCAGACAGGGAGAGCCAGAAGGGAAGGAGGCACAGGGTGTTCTGACCACCACCACACTCACCAGTCATGACAATGGCAGAGAGGGGACCCACACGCTTGCTATTGTGCAACCCATAGAGCAGCAGCTTATATCTGCGGGCAGCAACTAGGCCAGAGATGCTGACTTCCCTGAGGCTTCCTTCCACAGGCACCACCTGGGGCTGTCCATCAATGTCCTTGTACTGGACTGCGAAGGAGTCAAACTGGCCCTCAGGGACTGTCCACGAGAGGCTCACAGAATCTTGGGTCACGCTGGTCACCTGCAGCTCCTCCCCAAGTCGGGGTTTTGGTGGATGGTCCACAGGACCCAGGTTCTCTGAGATAGCAACGGGGGCAAGAAATGGCTGATCTGTTTCTGGAAGGTTTATGATCTCAAAGGGCAGGATAGACCAGTAAGTGACCACCTGCTTCCCTGGGCCTCAGAGGAGCAGAGCAGTTACCTGTAGGGAATAATTCCTACCTGTGGTGCCATCTGCAGTAAGGGGGCCAATGCGTTTCTTGCCCAGGAGGCCATAAAGAAGGAATCTGTATCTGCGGCCAGAGTCCAGGGGGGCGATGGTGGCTGAGCGCTCATTGCCCTCCACAGGCACCACCTGGGGCCCATTCTTGTCCTTGAACTGGACTACGAAAGAGTCAAAGTGGCCCTCGGGGACTGTCCAGGAGAGGCGCAGGGAATCTGTGGTAGGGTCTGTCACCCACAGTTCTCCGAGGCGGGGTGGGGCCCCTGGACTGGCATCAGTTGGGGCAGCTGACAGAGAGGAAAGGTTCTTGTGTTTATTTTTTCCAAAATGATTTTTTGACTGCCTCCCGCTAGGGCTGGAAAAGCCCAGAACTGTCCAAATAGTCAGTGCTTTGCTAAATATTTCCATTACACTCCATCTTTGTCACCATCTCCAACTGGCCTGTGACTCTCTCTACATTCAACATTGGGATCAACGTTGGGAGGGGGCTTCTGCCATGAGTCATTGCTGAGAAGAAATTCCCCAGCTTCCCTCTTCAGTGTATCCCTCTTGCCGACCAGACTCTTCTCATCTCTTAAGAGACTCTTTCCCCAGCAGGGCACAGCTTATTTTGGACTTTGTCTCTGTCTAGAGACAGAGCCCCCACTTTGTGATCTAACTAGCCTGAGGAAATCTGAGGGGCACAGGCTCCCTGATGAGGGCATACAGCAGGCAGAAGAGGCAGAATGTTCTGATGTGTGTGTGGTAGAATTTTCTCATTTTGCTTCCATTCCCTTTTTCATGCTATACCAGCTGCACTTGGGAGAACTGACTCCCACAGGGCCTGGTGGAGGAGTATGGCTATGGCTGCCCACACCATGTATGTTATGGAGGCTGGGGGTAAAGAGGGGGAGCTCAGACAAGGAAGGGATCTGATGTATGCCAAAGAAGCCATCCCAGGCCTGGGAAAGAGCTGGCCTGCTGCCTTTCTGGACAGCAAAGCCACTGACGGCATTATTATTGCGAGAGGTTTCTGGCAACAGGGAGCCCCCAGGGGCAAGGGGGGGCCTGGACTGAACCACAAGAAAGGACACAGCTGAGCCAGGCTCCTCTATCTCCCAGGAAGGGGACCTCTACCAGAGGGAGATGTGAAGCTAAGTAAGAAAGAGATAGAATGGAGTCAGAGCAGAGGGCAAAATTCTGAGGTGGCAATGAGGCCACAAGACTCAGGAGGTGGGAGGGGTTCCTGGCCACCTTCATTCCTCTCCCAGCAGCCCCAGTCTCCCATGGTCCATCTTCCAGGAAGGGGCTTCCTCATTCAAGAGAAGTACAAATGATAAGAGAGGAATAGACCCAAGAACTGGCCCCATTGCCCTGATCCTTGTCTGCTTCAGACAATGTGGCTTTTCAAATCAAACAGAAAAGGTGGTGGACAGAAGGGAGCTCTAACAATGGGGGGAAGGCTGGGGCTCAGGCTCAATTGCAAGAGGCCCCTCTCACCTGTCTTTGCCTCCACAGAGACTGGGCTACGTCGTTTTCCATCCTGAATCCCAAAGAGTAGGAACTTGTACTTGCGGGCGGGCTCCAGGCCAGGGATAGTGACCTCGTGCTGGTCTGCTGCCACTGGTACCACCTGAGGCTGCCCGTCCCTATCCTTGTACTGAACCATGAAGGAGTCAAATTCACCCTCACGGACTATCCACGAGAGGCCCACAGAGTCTGGGGTCACATTTGTCACTGTCAGATCTCCCAGGTGTGGCTCCAATGGGGGTGGCTCCAGTGGGGCCTTGGAAGCTTCAGTGGCTGGGGCTGGTGGGAGGGGATCTAAGATCAGAAGACAAAGAACATGCCTGAGATCTGTGAGGGGAGAACTCCTGGGCTCTCTGCTTGCCCCAAGGGGGCTGGGAACGGAAAGTTGTGTGTTTTCAATGACCTCTAATGAAATATAGCATTTCCTCCAGTGATCAATACAGGAATCCAACCACTGTAGTATTAGCATTACTTGTGACTGTCACCAATAGAAAGCAGAGATATTTGCACATCACTTTGGGGTTAATTCAGAAACTTTAAAATACTACTTAATACTCATCACTATTTCTAAATGTGGTAGCTTATTAAACCAAGGCTTGTTATCTAATGAGCTAATAACAAGTCCAGTATTACCAAATTTGAGTTTTTAAGAAGTACTTGACAACTGTACATTTGTCTCTTAGCATCCACAGGGGATTGCTTCCAGGATCCTCCCTGGATACTAAAATCCAAGGATGCTCAAGTACCTTATGTAAAATGCTGAAGTATTTGCATCTATATTACCTATCCACACTCTCTGGAACACTTCAAATCATGTCTAGATTATTCATAATACTTAAAGCCACGTAAATGCTGTTTAAATAGTTGAAAACTGTATTGTTTATAAGTAAAAAGTCTGTATATATTAGGTAAGACATATTTTTAAATATTTTCTATCTACAGCTGGTTGTGAAATCTGTATGACTGGTATCCTTTGTATCCTTATATATTTTATTTTCTATATTTTAAAACATTGCTCTGGGCTGGGCGCCGGTGGCTCACTCCTGTAATCCTGGCTACTTGGGAGGCAGAGATCAGGAGAATCATGGCTCAAAGCCAGCCTGGGCAAATAGTTCCCAAGACCCTATCTCAAAAAACCCACACAAAACAGGTTTGGTGGAGTGGCTCAAGTGGTAGAGTGTCTTGACACCTTGAGTTCAAACCCCAGTATTGTAAAAAACAAAACAAAAAAACCTCAAAAAACAAAACAAACAAGCCATTGCCCTGAGAGGGGATAGGGATTTCTTCAGATGTCTTGGTGTAAAAACCATGGTAAATGAATGCCCAGGATGCCACAAAGAGTGGGAGGGAGCCAGGAGCCAAGGGTGAGGGCCATCTCATGGAGGGACAAAAACTGGCATGGCCCAGAAGGGAATGTGACTCAGGCCAGGCAGCAGGGACCTCTGAGAATAGACGCAAGGATGTATGTTTCTCAGTGCCAATGAAAAAGGGCAGAAGGAGGAGGTGGCAGTTGTGTCCAAGTCACAGAAAGACTATAAAGAGAAGGGGAAGAAATGGATAGATGGGGGGAGGGGCAACTGGATTTAGGACAAATGGAAGGTTGACTTTCCATGTGAGTGAGGGGGTAGAGATAGGGAAGTCACTGGAGAGTGGGAACATTCCAGCCCTGGGCAGAAGCCAAGGAGTTGGAAACAGACTAAGATGTTTGTGAGTCTGGGAAGGGACCTGCAGGGTCACTGAGGAGGTCCTGAGGGGTCTAGCTCCTCCGTGAAGGCTGGTGGTGCCCAGGCAGGGCTGGAAGAAGGGTCTTCGGAAGGCAATCTGGGTAACCAGAGATGGAGGCTGCCTTGCCACTCACTTACCAGTCATGGCTACCACAGAGAGGGGGCCCACATGCTTCCCGCCATGTAACCCGTAGAAGTTCATCTTGTATTTTCTTGCAGGCTCCAGGTTGGAAACAGTGACTTCAAGCTGATCTGCAGCCACAGGCACCTCCTGGAGCTGTCCATCCCTGTCCATGTACTGAACCATGAAGGAGTCAAATTCGCCCTCAGGGACCGTCCATGAGAGGCTCACGGAACTGGGAGTCACACCCCTCACTGTCAGCTCCCCCAGGCGTGGCTCCAGTGGGGGCTCGGTGGCTGGAGGGCTCTCTTCTTCTGATTGCAGGGACAGATATGGTATGAGATTGTTAGAAAAGGGCCTCTTTTCCCTTGGTAGTAATTATCTGCTGATTTATACACCCATGGAGTGGTTTTGATGTAAAATTACATTGATCAGTCAATATCTATTTGGCCATTCTTCACCAAGTCCCTGACAGGTGTGAGGCTGTGCTTGCTGGGGGAACCAGAAAGTGGCTGAAATTCCATCTATATGTTAGTGATTCTAGATTTATACCCCGACAGATCTCTCTGTGACTTCCAGATTCATGTTTTCTCAACATCTTCCTTAGATTCCTAACTGGTATCTCAAACTCAAGTCCAAAACTGAGTTCCTGAGCTTCCTGGCAGCACCTCCACCTCAGTAAAATTATAGCCTCATTCTTCAGCTACTCAGGTCGAAATCCTTGGAGTCATCCCTGGATCCCTTCTTACATCCCACATGGCCCTATGGGTCAGTCCTGTTGTCACAGTCACATCCTTGGAATCTGGCCTCTCATCCCCACCCCACCACTGTTGTCTCCAAGCTCCACGAACTCTTACTTGGTCATCAGTCTCCCTGTAACCTTTCTTCAGCCCTCATCACCTTTGATGTGCTGGATCTGAAGCCAGAGGGGTCCTATTACCACATTACTCAGAACCTCTCCCCAAAGTGGCTCCCTTCTCACCCAAAGCAAAAGCCAAGTCCTCTGCTACCTGCCCTCCTCCCACTCCACTCCAAACCATGCTGCATTCCCACTGTCTCAGATACTCAGTGTCCCTTTCCATTGCAGGGTCTGTATTTGCTCCTCCCTCTGCCTGGGACACTCTTCCCCCAAAGACCTATATGGCTTTCTTCTCACCTTCTTCAGGTCTTTCCTCAGACACTGTGTTCCGAACTAGTCCCTCACCATCTCACCTACTGGTCTTTGCTTTCCTCCACAGCTCATGTCCCCATTACATAACTTTTTGCCTGCCTATGAAGAATGTGAGCTCCACAGACAGGAGCTTTGCATCATTCACTGCTGTGTCCCAGTGTCTGGCACACAGTGGATTCTCAGAATGTTTGTTAAATACACAAGTGGAAGCTAGGTGTGGTGGGTCATGCCCATTATTCCACCATTCAGGATGCTGAGGCAGAAGGCTTTCAACTTTTAGGCCAGCTTGAGCTACAAATGGAGATCCTTTCTCAAAAAACAAAAACAAGGGCTCGGGCGTGGCTCAAGTGGTAAAGTACCTGCTTAGCAAGTGAAAGGCCCTGAATTCAAACCCCAATACCACTCCTTGCAAAAAAAAAAAAAAAAAAAAAAGAGAGCATTGTGAGACAGAAAATAAGGTCTGGGGCTGAGGGCATGACTCAAATGGTAGAGGTCCCTCCTAGCAAGCTCAAACCTCAGTACTGCCAAAACGAAACAAAACAAAACATGAGCGGTTTGCAGGTCTGGCCAGGAAGGCTGAGCAAGGACCTTCTGGGCCATGCTCCCCCCAGAGAGAGGGATGTGACCAAACTGGAAGGTGGTCCTAGGGGCACAATTGCAGAGGGAGTGGCTGGAGCTCCCAAGATCTTGTTTTTCTGACTTCTGTGGAAGAGTGAGACTAGACTCCAGACAGGTAAAACCTGCCTAAAATGAGCTGGTGACCAGGCCTCAGACATACCAAAATGAGTCTGGGTGGGAAGGGCAGGGACCACAGTGACCACCTGTACTAAACATCTACTATGTACAATTACCAGGCCTGGCATTTCCTTTTATTTCATTTGCCTCCTAACTTTATTAGTTCCTACCTACCCATTTCCTGCTCCCTTTTGGCCTTTCTGTACTTCTTTCCAGGAAGGAGAGAAACTGCTCTCATCAGCAAGCCTGATTGTTGGTCGTTTGGTTTAAGTGGAAAAGGTGAGATTGTAACTATTCATGAGCATGACAGTCCCCATACTGCATTGGGATAGTCCCTTTCCAGTTTAACAGCATTGCTAATTAGCTGCATGTGTTCCTTCTCCTGACAACAGAACAGCAAGTGCTGTGGGCAGTTATCCACTCAGCAGGCTTCAGTACTCCAGACCTTGCTACCTTGACAATGAACATTTAGGCTTGTTCCTTCCTTAAAGGGCTACTTCCATTTTACCTAGGACACATAAAATACATGTTGCAAAGTATCTAGCACCACAGCACAGTGATCTCTCTACAGGAGGGTCTGAGCAAAAGTCAGGTGAGCTGAGAACACGCGAGGCACATTCCAACACCACTATGCATCCTATGAAAGGTGGGTGGCATGTGCTTCATCTTAAAGATGAGGAAGCTGAGATTCCAAGAGCAGGTAACGTTTTCATGATCACAGCTTAAGAATAGGGGAAGCCAGGAACAGAACTCAGTTTGGCAGATTCTAAAACCCAATTTTTCCCCATTGTGCCACTTCAGTGTCTGACAGAGCCCATCCTTAGCTGGGGACCAGAGACAGGGCTACACAGAGCCCGGTGTAGCTGCCTGGAACAGAAGGACAGACCTTGGTAGACTGTTCTAAACCTGGCATGAGCCTCTACTCTACTACCTCAGGCCACAATGAGGAGAATTAAAAGTAGCATTCCCTTTACCTTCTTCTCAGTGCTGACTGAAGCAAAGAAAAGAAGCTGGAAGTGGAAGGCTCTAGAAACTAAGTCAACCAAATCAGTATGAAGTTGAGCTTTGTGGAAGTACAGAAACCACATTTTAGAAACTGGTCTGTTTCTCTACCTTTCTGTTTTTTAATCTTTTCCCTTATAGTAAAAGTTGCTTTTGAAAAAGACATGCCTTTGTTTCAGTGAACAAAGGGAAAAAGAACTATCTCTTACAGTGACCAAGATGAGCAGGTCAGCAGGAAGGCCCCTAAGGTACTGCTGCCCATTCAACCTCTTAGACTAAGGCTCTGGAGAGGAGGTGCCCAGGCAGGGTCCACTTGGTGGCCAAGGTGGTGGCCCTTTAACTGGCCCAAAGGAGGGAGCAGAAGGGATATTCTTTTTTACCCTGAAGTCACTTTCTGGATGACTGTTAAATCAAGCTTTGAACTGCACCGCTAAAGAGGCCAATGTTTGGTGTGCGTTCTGGCCAACTAAGCAGCTAAACAAACAAAATGGGACAAAGCAGACCCAGAGTAACGGTAACTATAATAGGCCATTCTTAATGCTTTATGTTGTTAACTCACTTAATCCTCAAATCATTTCTGTGAGGTAGGTGTTACCCTCATTTTATAGACAAGGACACAAAGGCATACAGAATTTAAAACTGGCACAAGGTCAAGAGGTTTGTTACAGCCCCAGCCCCCAGTGACCTGTTCTTTCTAAGTATTTTTGAGCAGGCGAAGGCCCATGGCTGCACTGCACAAGAGGGCAACTGGAAACAGGGAAGGTGGGAGTCAGCAGTGAGAGGGAATTGAACCAGACCCCAGGCCACACTCACCAGTCATTCCCACGGTGGACACGGGACCCACTCGCTGCCCCTCATGGATCCCATACAGGTGCATCTTGTACTTGTGCCGAGGCTCCAGGTTCCCCACAGTGACCTCCCTCTCCTCACCCCTGACACGGACCACCTGGGGCCGCCCATCCTTGTCCTTGTACTGGACAGTGAAGGAGTCAAAGTGGCCCTGGGGGACAGTCCAGGAGAGGCTCAGGGAGTCTGGGGAGGATCCTGTCACTGTCAGCTCGCCCAGGAGTGGCTTGTTGGAGGTCTCCGGGGCCTCTGTGCTGGGTTCTGTGAGGCTGGGAGTCTCCTCTTCTGCAGCTGAGTAAAGAAGACAGAGAGATGAGGCAGGGGTCCCAGCAGATGTACTTGGATCTTGAGGAGAGGGATGGAGAAGCCATGGCCATGGGGGTTCTGAGGTCAGTTTGGAGAAGCCCACCTTTGGGGGCCAGTTGTCCTGCTTGGCTGACAGCTGACAAACCTCCCCAAGCCCTTAAATCAGCTGGGGAAACCCAGACAGCCAACAGCATAGCAAAGGCCCCAGTGGTTCTTTCATGCCAAGGGGGACGTATTAAGTGAACACCAGGGGAAAGCATACAGGGAACACAGCCCCAGCCACAAGCTTGTAGGTGCTGGGCAATCCCTGGCCACCACTGCTTGCTCACTCATCACAAAAGAGCAAAAGGGTCCACCTTCCAGTGAGTCCCTCCCTGGGATTCCAACTGTCCACTCACCTGTCACCCCAATGGCAGACACAGGGCCCATGCGCTGGCCATTGTGGAAACCATACAGGTTCATCTTGTACTTGTGTTCTGGCTCCAGGCCCGAAATGGTGACTTCATCCTCATACCCTGGCACCCTCACCACCTTGGGCTGTCCGTCCCCATTCCTGTACTGGATCAGGAAGTGGTCAAACTGTCCCTCAGGGACAGTCCAGGTGAGGCTTAGAGAGTTGGGGGTGGCATCTGTCACTGTCAGTTCCCCCAGGCGTGGCTCCTTGGGGGGTTCCGTGCTGAGTTCTGTGAGACTAGGGGTCTCTACCACCTCTGTGGGACTGGGTGTCTCTTCCAGAATGTCTGGTGGAGCTGGGAGAAGAGATTGAGACATGCAGGTGTTAAGGGTGACTTCCTTTGCTGGTGTCATCAATGGGAACAATAAGATACATCCAGCAGATACACTTCTCAGGCAGAAGTCTCAAGGACTCATGTGGCCTTTGTTATTGACCATTCACAGTCACTTGTAGATAGAGAGGACTAAGCAGCCCCCACCCATCCTATCTGCTGGAAGGAGTGCACTGTAGTTCTGTGGGGTTTCCTCTCATGGCTGAGGAAGGCGAGATCGGAAAAGAGGATATCTCTAAAGATTCTTCCATACTGTCATTGACAGCACTAACCTCAGAAAAGCCAGGGTTGGGAAGGTTTCTTCCCACCTTGTGCCCCTTCCAGGGTGCTCTGGTGGCTCCACCCTTTTACTAGGTCAAAATCATGGCATCAGTACCTGCTGAGGCCTCTTGGGCAGTTTGCCTCTCCTTCTCCTGGAACTCTAAGGGATGAGTTGCTAAGGCAGGGCTCCAGTCGAGAGTGGAGAAAAATTCAGATGGGTGGAAGCTCAGGAGGGCCCACAGGCTGGTTCTCAAATCACACTCTCATGGGCCCCTAAATGTCTCCTGCAGTTAGGTCTCTACAGGGCTCCATGGGTGTGAGGGGACTGTTGCCCAAAGGAAGCCAGCCCTTCTGTGACCCCCTCCTTGGCCTGTGGGACTGTTGGGGACAAGAGATTGAGGATGGAGCAGGCAAGAATGAGAACCCAGTAAGGATGGGAAGGAGAGGGAGATGAGGATCAAAACAGGTTACCAGGGAATCAAGAGCAGGGAGAGAGGGTGACCACTCTTCAGCAGCAGTCCTGTTGTGCCATGGGCTACTCCAGGTGCTAAATGTACATGAACTTTTTTTTTCTTTTGAGAAGCGGGGGTCTCCTTATGTAGCCCAAGCTGGTCTCAAACATAATCCTCCTGCCTCAGCCTCCTGAGTGCTAGGATTATAGGTTTGTGCCATTATGCCAGCTTGAACTCAGTTTTCTAATAGCTCTGTGTAGTGGTCACCATTACTACCCTCATTTGACAGAAGGGACACTGGTGCACACAGAGGTGAAGTGACTTGCACAAGGTCCCACGGACTGTAGGCTGCAAAGCGGGCACTAAGAGCCAGGCAGTTGCCTCCAGAGTCCATGCTCCCCACCACTATGGCACACTGCCTCTTGGCAAGGCTTCTCCAGCTGAAGACATGGCACCAACAGGGAATGGCTGGGGACATGGAGGAACAGGCTGGTGATACAGCTCTTTGTGTGGCTCCAAGCTGGCTAGTAGTCAGGGCCAGGAGGAGTCTTCTCCACTCGAGAATAGGCTAGGGCAACATGGTACCCTGTCCCCTGGATTTGTCACCTCTGAACAGAGCAGCAATGTGGTTAGGATGCAAGGAGTGACAGAAGCCCAGAATGATCAGGGCCCGACCAGGCAGGATGGAGGCCAGTATAAACTGTGGGGTGAGGACAGTTACTGAAGGGAAAGACTTCTGTGGGAAGGGCACCTGGGGTAGAAGAGTGAGTCGGATTCTTAGAATGGAGAAGAATGGGACCTGCTCTCAGATGTGAGGAGGCAGGGCCAAGAAGGAAATTAGCAGCTGGATGCTGGGCATGGGATGTAAAGGACAGGAGAGCAGTGGGGGAGGGAACAGGCAGAAGCTTTGGCAGAAGTGAGCTGAGAAAGAGAAGGTGGAGGCTGAGTGAGTCCTTCTCAGAGGATTAGGGCCAGCAGGGGAGGAAGGCCTGTGGGCTCTGACTCACCCGTCTTGGCCACCACAGACACGGGCCCCACACGCTGCTTGCCACGAAGCCCAAAGAGGTTCATCTTATACTTCCGGTTGGACTCCAGGCCAGGGACAGTGACTTCATTCTCATCCCCGCTGATGGGCACTGCCTGAGGCTGCCCCTGCGCATCCTTGTACTGGACCGTGAAGGAGTCGAAGGGGCCCTGGGTCACAGTCCAGGACAGGTGCAGGGAATCCGGGGTTATATCAGTCACCATCAGCTCCCCAAGGATTGACTGGTCAGAGGTCTCGGGGTGAGGGGGCTCATTTTCTTTCTCTGGGAAACAAGGGGATTCAGTCAGGTGTCGAAATGGCAGCCTGGGATGGAGGCTTGGGGTTTGGACCTGGGTCGGGCGGGGGGAGGTCACTACTCTATTAGTGTGAGTGCTAACTCCTGTGAAGTCTGGCACAGCCAAAGTATGAC